AACCCTTACACTTACACTTTTCAGCTGGATACTGAGGGGTTTTTTTTGGTTGCTAGCTACGATGGTGCGGCTTGTTATGATTTGAGCTCAAACGGATAAAGACTGTAAAAGTAGTCCCTAGAGTGTACTTTCAAGCGTTTTGATCTGCTGATCCGGCGTGAATTAACTATAAACCGATTACAAAGAATTAAAAAATATAATAAAATAACAGCGAAGTACAGAAATGTTCTTAACTTCTTCTTCTTAACTTGTTATTGTGGTCTAAATAAAACATCTCAACTAAATGATAAAAGTTCTGTTTTCTCGTGTCCTGTCTTTTTCAAATTGTTTTTACTTGTTTTTTTCCTACCTTCTTTTTTCAATTTCTTTCTTTCTTTCTATTTTTTTTTTGTTTAAGGGAAAGGTGCTTACTAGTTCCTGGAGAAGGGTCGTATTCTAGAATGGAGAAAAGCGATGCAGAACGATTAAAGGAGAATTTTCATTGTTATAAGCATTAAAATTTAATACTAGGCTCAATACCCAGGGATGATGCAAGGGTCCCAGGAGGAAAAACATACTTATTTATGAGGCCCGTGCGCCCATTTCGTAGTAAACATACCAATCAAAATATCTGAAAATAGTCGGAGAATTTTCATTGTTATGCTGCACCTCTATGTCACACGCGGGGAATACTAACGTAGAAGCGAAAATTATTTTTACCCGAACGCCGCTAATAAGCCAACAACCCCAGAAAAAATAGTTATATTCCCCCCAATCTCAGAAGCTCACCCCAGGGGAAAGCGAGGGATAGGCTAGACCCTCTCAGAGACCACCCTCTCGGGAGACAGGAGCGGACCGGCCCAGCTGGCGGGCTCCCCTTTTCAGTTACACCAGGAAGGATCAAATTTGACCGAAACTTGTGCGTTGTTTAACCGAACAATAAACGGTGCCTTAAAGCGAGAAAATTGGAAATACATTACCACGAAGGCAATACCCATATACCTCACGTGATAGCTTTACACAGAACAGAAAAAAAGAAATAAAGGGGGCTACCAACCAGGCCGATCCAGGAATCCCGTTACAGACAGAGTATCGGGTACTGTTTAGAATGACCGCCCTAGATCAACCGGACTGATAGCAGGAGCATAAGACTGAAAGCAAAATAACAACACATTTCCCGAAGCGAAAGCCAACCAAAACAAATGATGGGTCGATATACGTAACACGATAGAGTACAGTCAAGATTAACCTGCATAAATAACTACAAGCCCATAAAACTTAAACAACTGGCAAACGCCGAATAAATACAAGACCAAAATGACGCGTCACACACAAGGACTAAAAAAGCAACACACTATGAAAAAACGGTCCGAAAAAGGGGGGACGACATACTGAACTAGGAGCAAAAGATACCAAAAAACTTGATTGAAAGCGACACACGCTACGAAAACTATATTGGGAGCAGAAAATAACATAACACTAGCCTGAAAGGGATATGCGCCATAAAGGCTGTGCAAACGTAAAAGTGACACACTCAGCAAAAATAAAAAAATGAGGGCAATAGACTTTATAAAACTATAATTCTGAGATCGTCTAACGCTAGAAACGCGCTTAGTTGAAGCTGACACACGCCATGAAAACAACTTGTAAGCGACACACACTATAAACCTAAATGGAGAGCAAAAAATACGAAAGACACCGTGAAACTAGTCCATGAAACTAGAGTGAAGGAGACACATGCCAGAAAAGGCTAACTGGAAGGCGACACACGCCGTGTAAACAACCTGAAGGCGAAACACGCCGTGTAAACAACCTGAAGGCGACACACGCCGTGTAAACAACCTGTAGGCGAAACACGCCAAGGAAACTAACTTGAAGACGACACACGCCGGAAAAGCAACTTGAAAACGACGTACGTTAATGAAAATAGGCTGATTTAGCAACAGAACGGGAACGTCAGTTGACGACTGCGCGCGCAAATCAAGCAGCTGGCTTGACTAATGGCACTGAGCCGCAAATTGCGCACCGGAAGTGGAAGTCGAGTTTAGTCCTTTCCGCGCGCTTTCCCGTCGTCAAATGACGTTCCCATTCTGTCGCTAAATCAGCCTATTAACTCGATCGAAAGCAACGCACACTGTGAAAATGAACTAGAGAGTAATATCCGCCGTGAAATCTAGTCTGAAAGCGAAACACGCTATAAAAAGGTAACTTGAAGGCGACACACGCTATGGAAACTAATTTCGAGAGCACATACGGCCAAAAGCAAAACAGTAGGGAGTTTAAGATACGGAGACTACGGACTACGAACTACGGCTGGACGAGCGTTGTCCTTTGTTTGTACCAGTGGGTTAAGTCGTGCAAATATAGAACGTTAAGATTGCACTACAGACAGTAGACTACGAGGGAAGAGGCGGAGAGGGAAACAACACGCAAAGATTTTCTTGTTTTCATCACAGTTCACAAAAATGCAAGTCAGTTTTGCATGTGATCTTATCTTTACAAAAATAAACAAATTCTTCCACTCTTAAAGGAAGCAATTACGTCGGGTGAAATTGGTGAACAAAGTTTTGGTTACACAGGTTTTATTTTTTTCGCCCATGAATACTTATGTCAAATATTAAAGAAATAGACACAAATAGTAAAAGCTCATTTATTAGATTTAGAAGATGGACTTCTCCCACTACTGATCTGATGTATTGAAGTATTGAAATGCCGAGTTTCGATTGTCTCGAAGATGGTTACCTCTTTTTCATTCAGCAAAAGCGATACAAAAACTCGCATAAACAAAGGCTACACAAGAAGAAAGACACACTAATCAGTTCGAACAAACATTGAAACTTTTCAAGTGCGAAGAGAAAGTAAATTACGTGCATAATTTCTCTTGCCCTCGGCCGTCAATTTGAATTCTAAGCTTAGCTAGATAAAAATGTAGTCACAACAGTGGATTAAAAGCGTAAATCTGAGCAGAAATTAGACACAACTTACATATTTCGCTTCCCTCCCACTTAAAGCAGGTGAATTGAAAACTTTTTTACGAAAAGACGAGATTTTTGAATTACCGAGACGGCAAAATACGACCAAAATGTTCTCCGTAGTCCCGACTACGCGAAACAGCTCAACAACTCACCGTAGCCGCTGGACTACGCGGGAAAAATGAACAGTCACGTGGTTCTGATCATGCGCAGTAGCATGTTTCTCCATAGTCGTAGTCCGTAGTGGCGGTATCTTAAACTCCCTACTATTAGAAAGGCGACGTACGCCAAGAAGGCTGACTTGCAAGCAAGCACTCGCCACGAATACAAACAGGAGAGAAGACAAACGCCGCAAGACCTACAGAAAAGGCGACGTACGTTTACCAAAACAACCCTGGCCAGCCTTGATTCTGCCCAACCCACAGAACGTACAGAGGGAGCAGAACACCGGAGAGCAAGCGAAAGAATACAGCCTACCTCTTCAGCGGGTGGTGCGAGATTTTCACCACCAGCAGTAAGTTCAGGCGGAGGTATGCTCAGCGACGAAAAAACGGCACAAAACAAAAACCGAAAGTATATGACCTCTCAGAGCATGAACGCATAATACAGCGATCTGATGAAGGTTAAAATAAGGTTAATGATGAAGGTTAAGATGAAAATACTACGCTCAATATCCAGGGCTGACGCAAGAGTCCCAGGAGGGAGAACGTGCTAATTTGTGAGACCCGGGCGCTCATTTCGGAGGAAACATACCAATGAAAATAATTTTTGTTTACACAGCCGTCTGCGATGACATCGGAATGCTATCGCGAGCACTGGACGACATTAAATGATAGAGAAGGTGTAGTCCTGTATTCCATTTCGCTACAGTTAAATCACCGGCATAACATTACTATTGGGCTGATTTAGCAACAGAACGGGAACGTCTTTTGACGACGGGAAAGCGCGCGAAAAGGACTAAACACGACTTCCGGTGCTCAACTTGTCGCTCTACCATTGGTCAAGCCAGTTGTTTGATTTGGGCGTGTCGTCGTCAACTGACGTTCCCGTTCTGTTGCTAAATCAGCCTGTTAAATGAACAAGGAAACGAGAGTTTAGAAGATAGCAAGCCTTAAAACAAGATTGAGCCTAGTTGTTTGAAGCCAGCTAGTTTGGCTTTAACCCTTTAAACCCCAACATTCGCATCGTAGTCTCAATTTGAAAACATTTTCCCTTTAGTGATCATGTCATTAATTCTCAGAACCTTTTCTTTTGATGATGTATGAATTTTGCTAGGAGAAAAATAATGTTGGTAACTTTTGGGACTTAAACAGTTAACCCTGGGTTAACTGCAAACAGATCACATGGGTGGTCAGTTGCCATGGTAACTAATCCTTGGATAGGCGTTTTTGCAGCGGAAATTACTGAACAACTGTACAATTTGAGAATACAGTTTGTAAGTCAAGGGTTTTGTATGAGTTAATAAGCTTTTAACTCATTTGTATTTTTGTTTAGATGTTTGAGGCTTGTTAGAAAGGTCGACAGTAAATAAAAAAGAACTAATAACGACTAAAAACGGTGGACGTGAAGCAACCGACTGGGAAGACGGTGAGATATTCGAACTCCTAGAGTTAGGTCAACCTGGAAAGCGGAGGTTTTTTATTAACTATTTCTGTGTTATCAAGAGTGATAAACGTCTGGACGAAGGTAATAAGGTTGGGAAGGGGGAAACCGCATTGAACTTCCCTTGATGCAATGCGTCCTCATGCATCAGTACAATTGCAATGCATATATGAAGATTATTATAAGCGGAAATGAAACTACAGCAATACTATTGTAATTCAGGGTCTTCCAATTCTCTTATCTACACCGGATTTACCATCACTCGAGTGTTAATATATCAGATTGTCTACACTCATTCTCTAGTAATCATAGCATTATTCGCACCAGAAGTTTTGTATTATATTGTCTTTGCTGATGAAATGTTATATGGCGCGTTTCAGTAATCAGCTTGTGCGGTGCAAAATTTTTCGTAGCTAGGGAGCTATCCTTTTTTTCTTAACAGATACAATGCTAGAAGCTCAAGAGATGTTAGCAGACCTCGATACGATTGTTGAAGATGTACGTCAAGGTACATCGCAATCACTCTTTACACTGTTATTATCAGTACTCCATTAGAGAAAAACAATTAGACATGGAAGATGCCCGAGTGTAAGCTTTTGGAAGACTAGGGAGAGGGATTAATACATTTGCTTGCAATGGGATTCGAAAGCCAGGGGCATCAATAGATGCTTGTTCCTACAGTCAAACCACGCTTTGCGGACACCAGCTTAATACGGACACCTCATATACAGACAGTTTTCTTCGTCCCTGAGGAAAGAGAGCCCTTAGATTTCCTCTAAGTTCAACCCTCTGAATAGGGACATCCAGTTAATACAAACACTTTCTCTGTCCCACTCCCCCCCCCCCACCCACCCAAGCCACAGTACCTTTATCAATAGAGTGTTTTCACTCACGTGGCTAGCATATATGCAAATTTATTGGAACAAAAGAAAGCGTTTGCATAAGAAAAGAGTTCAACTCCCAGAGGACTGGTTTGGGACACCAACATGGACGCCGTTTCATTGTTTTGGGACACCAATATGGCCGCCGTGACGTCATGTGAAAACACTCCATAGGGTTCGACTGTAAATGCTACCCTTAAAGCACTTTTTGCGTCGTTGTCACCAATCCCAATGTCATTAAACACTATTTTAACGCATTTCCTGCACCATTTTATTCAGCTTGTGAATCACGTTTTGACATTTACTTTTGTTTAATTATTGATATGCAGACAAACATCAAATTCTCTACAAAGTCGTGGGATGCTACAGAGACAAACAACTCGATCCTAGGCCTATCCCAAAACTGCTGGCTGACCTAACTGGCGAGATAGACTGGCGCGATCTTAGCAAGGTCAAGCGAAAGTGTGCAAAACTTGCCAGTGACCAAGGCTACACTTACTTTGGTCTTCAGTCGTTCGGACAGTGCAGAAGTGGTAACGATGCAGCAAGTAGTACAAGAGGGATGGCGTTTCAAATGGCTACAAAAGTGGTTTAGGAGGCAAAGGAGAGAACTCAGTTTTCATGATCATCGAGTCACGTAAGTGTGCATTTCGAACTTAAGTTAATAAGAAAAATTTTCCAAGACAACGAACAACAGCGACGACGGCACGCTGAATTTAAAACCGATTTGACTAATAGCAGAACAGCTCACCAGCACCGGACGTCGTGTTTCGTCCTTTCGGCGCCTTCCCACTTGATGTTGCGCTGCCTTAGCTGAAATACTTCATTTTAAAACGACAAGAGGAACAATAGTGGTGTCTCTGCGAAACTGGTTTCTAGCCTGCTCTGACCTGCCAAAATGGTACGTTGGTTTAAAACTTTTTACTCGCAACAACTTACAAACAAATCGTGCTGTGAAGGAGTCATGCTTCGAAGTTTCATTTAAATGTTCAAACCTTAGGATTTTGTCCCGGACGAGCTTACGACACTAGAGCAGTAAAGACTGCCAGCTTCTAGGATTTTGAAAACGAGACAGGGAATCGTTTATCTAATCGGTTATCGTTTATCTATTGCCTCCCTGTCCTGCGGCTTCTTTCTTTGCACTTTCAGTCGACGATCGTGTCCCATGATTGCAATCCTGGTGGAAACAACCGCAAAGCAGGTTATTGTTGCCCGTCCTTGCAATGCAGTTTTGAGTTTTTGTCTTCTTTTTCTTCCCTTTTACTCACTTAACAGTAGAGTCCACGACTCCCCTTCCGCCAAAGGAAAAACCAACAACTTGTATCCCAACAGGTACGCTAATTAAGGGATTTCCTCAAATCTTAGCGTATAAGTACCACAATGCTAGAATAGAACAGGCCATTTTACTACCACGAACAGAATCCTACAGGTGCTTTCTTGTGCAAAGTACGGCTTTTGTTATTTAAATCTCGCTGGGATTACCAAGTTTAAATATGAAAGAAAAATCGAAAAGGATTCTGGTCGTAAAGTAGTATGAAAATGACGCAATCGTTGCAAATGGACTATTTAAATGGCAATTACTAGATTTTTCTTTGCGATTAACGTCGGTATCATGTAAGGTGTCGGACAGTTAAGCAATAGAAAACGTTTTCCGTGTTTGCATAGCCTGATATAAACAAGAGAGGGGTTGGGGGAATTCTCGACAGTTATGCAAACCCTCGACTTCGTCTCGGGTTTGCAAAACTGTCTCGAATTCTCCCAACGTCTCCCAACCCCTCTCGTGTTTATATCAGGCTATGCAAACACAGCAAAAAAGTTTTCCATTGCTTTTGTAAAATAACTTTCCCGAGAAAAAAACGCAAAACTCTTTGTATGGCACTGATTAAAAGGGAAATTCTTACCAGTTGCAAAATCTTGTCCACGAAGTCTTGCACGAGTAATCAGTTCTTGTTTTGCAACAGGATGCTTTGCAAAATACGGACTTTTCTCGCTTAAAATGTCAGCTTAAGCGAAGAAAAATTGACACACCTTCTCTGTAATGATTTTACAAGTTTCAGCCGACGAAGGAATGAGTAAATAAAGTAAACTTGTCGAGTTTTGAACTCGAAAACTTTTTCAAATTCGTGTGAAAAGCCAAACATCTTGACGCCACAACCATGTTTACATACTCTCATGCAAACACTCCTCTCGGCCAATCAGAGCGCGCGTACTATCTTAGTTATTTTATAACATGTACATGGTGTAACGTTTCATGCGGAATGCCAAAACTATCATATCTTAAATTCAATCAGACGATCGCTGAACTTCATCGATTCCAAGTCGTCTTGTGATGATAAATGAACATGGGGATGGTACAGGTTTGATGGATCTGCCGCGACTGGAATGCCAACGACGTGTGTCCCCACACATCATTGTGGTGCGCATGCGCCTGGCTGGCTTGTCGGCCCTCATTCTGCAGTGCATGAAGGGAAGGTTCGGCTTGACGTTTGCTTTCGCTGGAAGAGCTGCTGTTCTTGGAAAAATTCTGTTTTCGTTCTTTGTTTGCGAACTTAACAACAATAACTTGCAATCCATAGTACAGTAACTTGCAATCTACGCTATTGTGGTAATGGGAAAGGTAGAGTTTGTTCGTAGCTTCAGAGTTAATACTTTCATAGTGCTAAGCTACAAAAAACGCATTTGCAAAATCGCTCACTCGTTCTGGTATGACGTTTTGTGGTTGTCTTTTTTAAATACTCACAAAAGTAAAGTGACTCAAAAGGAAGAATGTACACTTCAGTGGCGGATCCAGGGAGGGGCCTGGGGGTCCCACTTTATTTTTAGACCAAACTGAGGCCCGAAGGGCTGAAAAAAGTGTATTTGGAGACCGGGTCCCCCCTTTTCTAAGGGTCTGGATGACCGCCCCCCTCCCCCCTTATCTTAAGGTCTAGATCCGGCACTGCACTTAACAAAATCATTTGATTGTGAAATTAGATTCATTTTGTTGCAGAGGCGATAGCATCCCCGGAAACTTTTACACCACCTTCAACAACATCAGCGTCATCATTAGCATCAACTTCAGCATCATCAACAACAACAACGCTAACAACAACAATAACAAAATGAGCAACGTTTTCGCCAGGTAAAAACAAGAAACTTTCTAGAAGGTGCTTCAGTTTGATTGTAAGATAAAACGTTGCTAACCGTGTCTTGTAAAGTCCCTTTATCTGGTCAGTGCAGTTCTGTAAAAGAAAATAAATCAATTATCAACTCCCTGAAGCACTGGACGTTATTAAGAGGGTCTGAATGGGGTTTAGTGTTCAGTGTTATTTGCCCATAATTTTTATTGCTTGGTGTTAAATTGGCCAATTTTTAATGTTTGTTGTTTCCGAAGAAAGTACTGTTAAGGGTTTGGGGGGTTCTTCGAACATCTTCCGCAATGGTCGGACCTCTTCGTTAGTTTTCGGAAATCTTCGACAATATTCGGGAATCGTCGATAGCCTTCAGAAATCTTCTGAAATAATCCGGAATTGTCGTAAAATGGCCAGAAACTCCTTGATATACTAAACAAAATGATATTGGCCTTTTTGAAGCTGTTTTTTCTTCTTTCTGGAAAAAATTTACTGTTTCAAAGAATTTTTTGCTTTCATTGTTACAATGCCTAAAATTTAACTGTTTCATGTTACAAAGCCAAAAAATGAAGTGTTTAGTGTTGTAGAGGTACCCCATTCAGACCCTGTTTTAAATGTTACATTTCTAATGTCCTAAGATTTTTCTTTACACAGAAACAACAATACTTGCGAACACCACAAACACAAGGCTCCCATCTCTACCCGGTAAGTCACTTTGTATCACTCCCTTTTGACCTTAAAATGACTTTTCTCAATCATTTTCCATCAAAATTGGCGTTCTCCTCGTTCGTGTCCGCAAATACGTCCTAAAATTCAGCTTCGTATTTGTTACAGCCATCAATATGCCATTGATTAAGGCCGAGTAAGAAGAAGGCAAAAAGCACGCATCAGAAAAATGACTTAACGACAATGAAGCGGTAGCGTGCTCAATCTTTTTTTTTTTAATTGAGTACACTTAGTTCAAACCACGTATTTCGCACTGGGAGTCAAAAGCTTAAACAGTTTCAGTATCTGGTTTTCAAATTTTCTTTGAAAGGCACTATAACTTGAATTGAAATTCATCCCTCAATAACTTTACCAAATTCGTTTGTCTACTTTGCGAAATTCATTCCATCGTACTGTTCTCTTACTTTTTCAGAGTGCCTCAAATTGGTGCTCCTGGACTCTGACGACAGATCAATGTATTATAAAACAGACGATAATACAGGCCTAGCTAAATGTGACAGCTCCCTTCAAAAAAGCTGGTATAGGTTTCAGGGGGGCACCAGTGACCACATGCCAACTTCGTACATCGATAAACTGCATTGCGGCACGCATGCGCCAGGATGGCTTTCAGGGATACATCCTTCAGTTTCCCATAGAGCTGTACGCGCCAAAGTGTGTTTTCATTGGGGTGGTAGCTGCTGCCGGTTTTCAAAGTATATCCCGGTTCGTAATTGTAGCCGGCTTTTACATCTATGAATTTTATAGCCAACATAACATTTACAAATTAAAACAAAATTAGAGCATCAATCAGTTTCGATACGGGCTAAAAGTATTTTTTTCCATCCAGATTGCATTATTATAGATGTACTTTCAGTAAAAAATGAAAGACGACCTGAAGTAATCAAAATAAAAATTATATCTAGCACTCGGCAAACATTTACTGGACAAAATGAGATGGAAGCATTTATCGCTACCAAGAGAAAAGTAATTAATGTAACCTTTTTTAAGGAAAGATTTCAGCCAGTTCAATTTTCATTTCTAATTCTTTACTGTTTAGTTTCCCATCACTTGAAAAAACGAGTTCGAGGCGGTAATTGGTCGAAACCTGTAACTTTTCAGTTTCCAAATACTTTCGAGTGTTTGGTGTGAAAAGTGTCTCACTAACTATATACAGCAGTGTAAAGTTGGAAACAGTGGCCTTAATTTATACAAACCTTGTATCGTTTCCTGCTATCTAGCTGCCATAATGTATTCGTGTGTAACGGTATATTTTGCCTAGAATCATTTTATTTTCGACCGGATGTCATCACGCCATTTTCCCGAAACAAAATTATTGAGCGTCATATCCTTTTGTTTATATCATTTTCCCAAGTTTTTATGAATAAAACATATTTTAGGCAAGATGTCATCACACACATTTTCATAAATCGGAATGATCCTATTGCGTCGTGTCTTTTTGATCACATGATTATCCAAGGACTACATATTCTGTTGACGACCCTTTCATATCATCATACAACGTACATCTGAGCAAAGCAGGTGCAGTCAAACGAATTAGAGAAGTTATTCCTCCTTAGTTCAGGATACAGGTAAGCTAATTTAATGAACTTTTAAATGGCCTGTTGCTGTTCGTTTAAATTGCTGGACTAAGCTTTGTTTCTTATCGATAACAAAGAATACTGTTCCATGTTTTGTTATGTTGAGAACCTCCTACACAAACGACACCATTTGGGTTTTTCGTCATTTTTCCTATTGCTTTATCACTTTATTACTTAATATAAATTTTGTGTGAGCACAGAAGTAGGCTCAGAAAACTGGTAGAAGACATTTTTGTTGATCCTTTCCTACGCTAACCGCCTTTTTTCGATATTAAGTCTTTTCAACTGGTTAATTCTTATTGCCCACATCTGACAGTCCCAGCCTTCCTCGGTACAGATTTTTCTTTCAAGACGCATTGTTGCTGGTCTAGTTCCGGTCTGTTTCTCCATACACCAGCCCCAAAAATCTATGCTGGGTTTTAATCCAATGTAAGGTTTAAAACGGCTGACCACTTTTTCTCTTATTTCAAACACGAAAATGGCGGGAATTTCAACTCGTCTTTAACCGGATCCCGGATCCCAAATGCTAGAAGAGTTTTTGTAGTCTTACGACAAGCTTCTTATTCGAGTTTTCTTTCTGTGAATTCAGTTTACTAGTACAGGTAAATTTTAAAGAATAAAAAACATGCTACCTTCGTTTATTCTCACATTATATTGAAAGAACGATAAAAAACAATCAAATTAAAAGAACAAATAAAAAACCGACCGGTATCAACAAGATTAAAGCCGATAGTTGCTTTGCATAGTACCTGATAAAGGCAGATGTTCCTAAAGAAAGACAAAGGCCCAAATTGCTTATGACGATTTTCATACATGTAATAGCAAAACAGATATCGAAACAATCTACAAGTTTAAACCTCGAAGCAACCTCAAACTTACAAAAAAAAAGCTAAGATCCTGAGCTCGAAACCGAAATACCCTCAACTCGCCGAAAACGAAGCACACCACAAACCAAAAACGAAACACTTTCAACCGCGGTGAACTCGCCTGCTATCAGCTGGTATTAGCGAGTCAATAGAAAGGAGACGTCGTTACGTCAGATTCCCATGGTATCAAAAATTTCTGAACCTCAAAAACCGTTGTCCTGTAAATATGGCAAGAAAAAACGAAAAAAAATTGACTTGTATGACTTTCCTGTGCATGATTGCACTCTGGAACAAAACGGTAGCCAATAATTTCCTTCCATCGTTCGACAATGATAATAACCGCCTCGTCAACGAAGATTGTTGAGATCCAGAAATTTTGCTACCATAGTAACGTGACGTCACATTTCTCCTCTCTAATTGAAGCATCACAACCCCTTCCCGTCATTCACCAGGCACTTTTGTTTACTTTTGTTTGGTTCATTTGAAAACAAACGTCAGCTCCGGAAGACGGGTTTTGTCGTCCTAGAGTTTCACCTTTAGAAATCGTTTGGTTTTATCGACGTACGTACTCGTAAAAAGTTTGCGGTGCTGCGGTACGTTGAGTACTTTTTCTTGCAGTTTACAATTGCATTGTAGTCATGAATTTCGATATTGCAGTATTTCTAAACTTGCGAGCTGTGCTTTTGTTTGTTTGTTTGTTTGTTTGTTTGGCTTTTTTGTCGATTTTTAACATGGTGTTGTCGCCAAAGTGATTTGCAAATTTTTCTTTGAGGCGTCAATTGTGGTGCACGCTCCACTGATACCCCGACCTTGTCACCCACTCTAGAACTATCTATCATTTTTTGGCGCATGCGTATACTCCCGCTACAAGCCGGGCTCAAGGAAATTAAATTCAGACGCCATTGCCGTTGTAAAAATGTTTTTAGTTAGTGCCAATTAAGATATTCCAATGATGATTTTAAAAGGGTAATATCAATTTTAATTTTCCAAAATTTAGGTCTGTTAGTTTTGAAATGGAAAACGCAATATAATAGCCGCTAAATGGGTACAGTTAATGTTTTCTCTCTGACGATATTTTTGTCACCGATTACAGCATTTTTTTTCGAATAACGGCATCTACTGCAAATCAGGTATTTCAATGCCCTGAAAGTCCCATAAAGTAAACTTAATCGAGTTGCTCTTCCAGGAAAATGGAAGGAATATCATCAGATTGTACTCTAACAATAGCAGATTCCGACAGTGAACTACCAGAATTTTAAATGCGCTCATACATGTTCTGCTATTCACACGCAAAAAAAAGATAGCTGAAAGAAAAAATTGCCCTGAATCTGAGGATGGGTCGGGTCCTGAGGTTCTCGAAATTCCATTTCGCGATCGCTGGTTAACCGGACGGTGTATTTTAGGACCGTGGCGGCCTACAAATGAAATAATTCTGTAAAGCAGTGTTATCTGTTCATTGAAACCATCATGGCGGCAAAGTGAGTAGCCGATTACCTGTACTGTTACATTATTATGATATTACAGTGCGTTTAAAGATCACTGTCTGCTACTGAAGTACTTATGACAGATAATTAATATTCAAAAAGTAGTAACATATAGTGGATTTACCACTTAATTGAAAAAACCATGGCAATTTTAATGTGCTTATGCCAGTATGCATGACGATAACATAACCGTAAATCCTCTATTAAGCCCCCTCTCTAATAAGCCCTCCCTTATCAGGGGAAGAAAGTTAATAAGCCCCCCTCTTCATTATTATTCACTGACAAATAATTGACTGGATTGTAAAACTTCATGTGGACAAAAGATTTTTTATTTACCAGCTGGAAGTTTTGAATTGAATTTTGAATTGAATTTTGCTGCATGACATCCAGCTTCTTGTACTTCAGCAACCTCGTTCCTAGGGCCCTCTACTACCCGTTCCTACGGAGCGAGAGACGGGTAGGAGAGAGAACCTGGGACCGAGCTTGGTACTTGAACTTTTCACTTTGCATTCTTGTTCTTTATGGTGAACTGATACCACCGTCTGTGCAAAATTAAATGAGCTCTCCTTCTCAAATAAGCCTGCCGTCTTGCTTTTAGCCCTCCTTAAATGTGTTTGAAATAAATAAGCCTGCCGGGGTCTTAATAGCGGATTTACGGTAATTGAAAGCGTTATACCTTTTCCCAGATCAAAGCATTCATGGCGCTTAGTGGAATCAAAGCAGCAAGTGAGACTGATGAGCAAATTTTGAACTTTGACGATGCTACTTTGAAAGGTAAAGGTACTTACAGCTCTTAATACTTGGTATAAACCAAAAGCCCTTTAGAATTTCAAGGGACAAAGGACCACAAATGAAGTTAAAAAATTTAGACAAAAACACCTCTGTTAAAAGGTAAAAACAGAATTTGCGGCATTTCCTACTTTAAACTTTACAGCAACGACAGAATTAATATTATAATATCGCAAAACCGGATTATAGTCTTTCAGGAGCCCATCAAATGGAGCCTCTATCTCCCATACAAGCCCTTGGAGTCAACCCTTTCCCGAGTAGATTTATAATTAGAACGATTCCCAGGGGAGGCTTCACGCGTCGACAGTGGGAGGAGCCAATCACAACGACAAAATGACAGTGCTATTGTACTTCATCAAACAGCAGGAAATACGGTGTTGACAAGCCAAACACAATCATAAACTAGTGAAACGTGACTTCAGAGTTTTCATCCCTAAGAGATTTTCTTTCTTTTCTTTCTAGCGGGTAGATTGTACTGCGGAGAATTTGAAACTCTGACTATGTTAATCTTTATTTTGGCTGCTTGTCTCACATTAAGATACCATGAAGCTGGTCTGTTCCATGTATAATGATTAACTACTTCCTACAGTCTGTAGTTCTGACAGGATTCGATCCTAGTACCGGTTTTCTTTAGCTAATGTTTTTAAGCGTTAAAGTTCTTATTTCGGCTAAATGACTCAACATTAATCAAATTTCTTGTTTTTAAAGCTTTTTTTTTTTCCGAAATGCGTTTATCTGAACAAATAATTATAGTCCTTTTTCTCTTTTTTCCCGTCAGCTAGTGTGATGATTCCCTGCTATGTTTTGTAACGCCGGGCTCAGCTATTTAGCATTGTTTTCTCACGAATGGTGATCTACAGATGCGAATTCGAAGGAATGAATTGACCTTAAACTTCTACATTAACTGCTGAGAA